CAACCAATCAGAAAACAGGATTCCGATGGATTTTGATTCGTATCATCGGAATTCTGTTTTCTGATTGGTTGCAGAGCGTCGTACGACGCAAATCGGATTCAGTGTGAATCCAACCATCATTAAGATGTCACGAACCAATCAGAAGGCCGCATTAGCGTCTTAAGACGTTACTTAAGATGGTCTTGAAATAAGAATCGACTATAATATCTTGGTTTTTACCAAACATAATTACTAGTATAACTCTTTTATTGTAAATAACAACGCTTCTAACTTATATTTTATTTAATATTTTTAATAAGTTTTCGGAAACTATTTAAAATTTTATATTTTAAACAAGACGTATAAGTTTTTTTTACCGATTCCTACGATTTTATATTTTAAATAAGTTTCTGAAATTTATTTTATATTTTTTATTTTAAATAAGCCGTAACATTTATTTTACCGAGCCATGATCGGCATTATACGTAAGTTTAAAGAATTTTTGAAACACAGAATAATTTGCAGCAACAGTGTCATAAATTAATTTTTAGCTGAAAAATTAAATAATGATTAACAAGATATTTACTTTTAACCAAAACTGTATTGAGTTCAAATTGTTTTGCAATATTAAAAAAATTTGCATATATCTTTAATAGAAGGAATAAGAAATAACGGTTTCATTATATTAAAAATCAGGTACATCGGAATACACGGGTTTTGATAGGTTGAAATTGTTATTTCTTATTTCTAATTTCTTACTCTTACTATTGTATCTGCACTTTTTTTAGTTTATGATTATTATTGTACAATCGCTTGTATATAATAAGTTATAATTAATAAATTATATATATAAAGTATATTTTTATAAATAGATATTAAATAAGTACATTTATGTCCAATTCTACTAATGTCGATTAATCTATGTATAGATTTTAATTTTGATTCTTTTTTTATTTTAAAGATTAGAAATTGATAAAAAGTAATTTAAATCGAAATTAAAGTTAATGTACATTATAATTGTCCAGAGATGGACTATATGGATAATTAAACTAAGTTGTAGCTATAAGTATAATTTTAACTAAAAAATTCTTTTTCAGATATTCTTTTAAAAAATATTTGAAAAACAAATTTTTTTTTAAGAATAAAGAAAAAGTATATAGTTAATATTTATCTTTTCATCACTGTAGAAAAATTACTAAAATTCATTCGAAGTATAAAATTAAACACGATTACAATTTAAAGAAATCAAACATTCATGATTTCGCGCGCCGCAGATAAGTTGAACGAGTTGGACTTGCGCGCGCGCGCGCATAGTCAAGATGGCGGATCATCAACAGCAAGTGTTTGGTTTATCATCATCGTGCTTCGAAATTAATTACGAAACGCGGTGTTAAGTTGCGATTTAACTACATGCGCGACAACTCTGTTGTTTTCTTAAAGGAAAAAAAAGCCGTGTTTGATGTGGCATGAATTTTGGTCGCGTGCGCTTCTGACGTGCGCGATTGGTGCTTGTTCGATTATCGGCGACTTTGGGCTGAAGTGGCTGAAGTACGACAAGAATGAGTCGGCGCGCGCGGCGCTTGACAATGCGACGCACGCGACGGTGGGCGGCCTCACGTGGATGTTAATTGTCGTCCTCTCGCGGAAGTCGATTGTACGCAATCTAAATAGTATATTTTCCTGTTTCTTGTTGGCATCCTTCGTTGATCTGGATCACTTTATCGCGGCGCGTAGTTGGCATATCCATGTGAGTATCATAAAGCATTCGAAAATTAATTTCGAAATTTGGATGAACGATAAGCGGAGCGTATATTTTAACAATGACATTTTGTAATTAGTTTTTATATACTTTCTAATAAAATATAGGAATTAATTATATTTAAATAAATTTATTAAAAATATATATACGGGTATAAAATTTTCTTTTATTAAATTAAACTCGTATAACGTTTGCTTTAATTTCAATTTTAATTAAATTCTAATTTTAATTTTTAATCTAGAATTTTTAGTTTAAATTTAATTATGAAACAAGAAATATACATTAGAAGTTACAAAAAAATTGGAAATTATTTTTTAATGTAATAAAATTATTAAACAAGTTACCAGATCGAGTTACTGAAAAAATAGTATATATAATAACTGTAAATAAAAGAAAGAAATTTGTAACTTTTAATTTACAATTTATAACTTTATCTCGATAGAAGTTATCACTGTAACTAGAAAAAATCGCAGAAATTTATAGAAATGTCTAAAAATATTATTTTATTTCATATATTTCTGATTCTTGTTGTTTTTCATTTTTATGTACATATATATGTGTGTGTGTGTGTGTGTGTGTGTGTGTGCGCGCGCGCGCGCGCGTGTGTGTGTGTGTGTTTACATATCTACGCATATAAATCTTTATTTTTTCTAATTTCATCTTTTATTATTTTTTCAGGATGCCACGCATTTACAAAAACGGCCTTTCTTACATTGCACCACCATTCCTATCTTATTATGGACATTTTTTATCTTACTCTCCAATACCTTCCATTCTCCTCTAATGGAACACATTTCCTGGGTGATATTGGCTGCCTTCTTGAGTCACCACATACGAGATGGTACCAGAAGAGGTTTGTGGTTTTGTCCCTTCGGATCTACCCGTCCTATTCCCTACTATTTATACGTAAGTCTTTGTATGTCCCTTCCTTACATACTACATTGGCTTATGAGCGTGCACATATTTGCGCCGAAGAATAACAACAATATTATACTCATCGATGTATGAGACATATTTTAGAACACGCATATTGCTTACCGAGTGTACAAACAATCGGACACCTTTTTACGAGAGCTATTATTTTGGGCGCTTTTCAGCAAGAGACACAGATGACACAGTGTAACACAATGAATCATTACATTTCCTTATTGTTTGCTGATGTTAAACAAAAATGACATAATCACTGTGTCACACTGTGTTGCTTGCTGGAAAACACATTAATAACTTGTATAGTGGCAGTCCAATATTGATATTCCTAGTTTATAAAATCGAAGATGAGAAAAGAAAAATCTAAGATTAAGCTCTCTGGAAGAAATAGATATAAAAATATTTTTCATTGAATTAAACACTTATAATGTTTGCTCTAATAAAATTTTAATTTTAAACTTAATTATTTAAAAAGACATTTTTAATATTACGAGTTAGATATGTCTTCCAATTAAATTTTATAGTCATGCTAGTAATCAATGTGATTATAACGTACCTTATAATATCTTATTTGTTTTATTCGAATAGGATGTTTCTAACAATAAGCATATTTCAGTTTATTAAAAAAAATATGAATCAAATTTAAAAAAAAATTTAATATATTTATTTTATATTTTTCTTTTCTTAATAAACTGAAATATGCTTATTATTAGAAACATCTTATTCGAATAGATATTATCTAATATATATTAATTTTTTCGAAACCTTGTTATTAGGATTTGTATGGATTGTTTTATATATCTTTATATAATAAATGTACATACAGATGTACATAATATTACGTAATGATCTGCGCTTACTTTATTTTGTATAATAATCACAAGCGGTTAAATACGGTTGTAATGTTTAACAGTGATGCAATATGCATGACAACAATGATGTTATATCGTCGCTCGTCTGAGCGAAAGGGAAAGTGGGAATAAAATTTTTCCAAGTTGCGGATGGCAACTCGGTTTAACACATCCGTGTGCACATGATGTATACATATTTACAACTGCAACGTGTCGTTGCAGCTGTGCGTGGTTTATGGACGAATCCCACGTGCGTTTGTTTTCTATGCCTGCACGTTCAATACGCCGTTTATTTTTTATATTTTTTCCTAACATACTCAGGTACTTTGAAGTATTCTCAGCGCTTGCAGAGTGAAATATAATTTGGTGATCAACAATAAATAGAACTATTTAACGCTCATGCGTTAATAATAATTATAAGCGAAGTGTGACTTATATTCTCATCTCTATTTTTAAATAACTCATTCTTACGCACCTTAAAGCGAATCGTTCCTATTTTTTCCCTAAACTACTGTATCCTGTTTACACTATTAGTTTATTTAGCTGAGATTTTATCTCTTTTATTGATATACTCGATACTGATATTTGAATGACTGTAGAAATAAAATCGATAAATCGTTTTAAGCCCCATATCAAGAAAATCTCCACTTGAAAGCTTATGATATCCGTATCTTTATGATGTGAAGTATCTAAAACTTTAGCAAGACGTATATCTGAAAATAAGTATGGACCATAAAATTCATCAAAATAAGGATATTGATAATGCTGTAAAAAATTTTGACGTTCTAGCAATCAGCTTAAACGCCAATATATAATTATTTTGGTATACAACATAATTTTCAGATCTATATGTACATCTCTCATTTGTATAGATACTTCAGCAAAACCATTCTTTCCCCCCAACGGGCGATACGATACTGAATTTTAAATGATCCTCTCGCAAAAGAATAATGTATGAGCACCTATTTTATTGCTGTTGTGATATATTTGAATGAATGTTAGCGGAATTATCGATGTCTGGTGAACTAGCAGGAATTATCGATGTATTATGCAACCGAGAATTCTTGCCTAGGTGCAGGTCACCACGCAGGGACTCGTCTCTGTGGGTGAGAGCACGGAGGAGGCACGGATGCCCCCGCGGTGACACGCAAGTTGCACACGTGTGTATACATGCCCGCTGGAAGGGGTTTACTTATCAGCATTCGGCGTTGCTTAGCTGGCACTGCCGGCTTCACTTTACCTCTCGACGGTCTTGCTTAGTGCTCGTTTAACTAGCCGGTCGTGCCGCACCTGTCGGACAAAGATCGCCGAATCGTCTGATTACAACGGATAACTTGTCGTACGGAGATTCGGAAATCACTATTACGTCATCCCTCGCGCGTTTTTCTCGTCCATCTCCTATCTCTTTGTCTTTTTCTTCCTTTTTTCGTTTTTTTTAGAACTTTAATAGCGATTCCATTGATTGCTACTATTATTTCTCAACAATCACTAGCGTTAGTTTCTGTTGTGGATTTTTCGAGTGAAACTTTTTTCGCAATTGATTAGGAGGACCGCGAATTGCGAAAACCTGATTGCAATCTATCAATATTTTGGGAATCCATAATGTCATCATGTTCTGATAAATACACGAACAGATCACGATAACGCACTGATATCCAGTATCTTGAGCAAACGCGATATCTTATATCGACAACGCCGCGAACAAGGCATGACAAGACCGGTGTTTGTGGATTCGGCTGGTTGATTCATACACAAGATGGTAAGTAACACGGTAGTTTCTCCCACTTTTCGGTGTTTACGTATCTCTAGATTCCGAGGCCGATCGTACGGTCCCTGACCGCAAATTGTCTCCGCTCAAGGTATATCACGTGCAACAGTTTCTCTTTCCTTTTATTCCGGCAAAATTCCTAGTCGTGTTTTGCTCGAGTGACGTAAACAGTGTGTCAGTTTATAGATCATTTGTGTGATACATAATTATGCCTGCGTAGCTTCATGGCAAAGTTGATATTTTTTGGTTTATCTCTATCTGCGGTAAGTTCCACATTTGACGATATTTGTGCTGACAACAAAAAATCAGATAGGACACACACACACACATATAATTACACGTAATTGCAATTTTTTTAAATATTTGCAAAAATATATTTCTACTTTATTTAGAAAAGTATGTTGTACGTATATCTAATATGCATATTTAATATACACTCATTCGCAAACATTGGACTATTATATTCATTTGTTTTTTTTTTTGCGAGTAAATATATATACAAATATACATAATAATTTATTTTTATCAAATTTTTATTTATTAAAAATTTTTTTTAATCAAAATTTGTTAGAGTCTTAATCATTAGCACAATTAGAACACATATGATATGTTATCTTGAATAGAATTATCTGATAATTTTCCATATCAACGAACAAATATTCTTTTAATGGCTCATCAGTTAATTAGTCCTATGACAAGAATATATACCGATTAATTTTCAGACATATGCAGTTAAAAAAGAAAACGTTTAAAGCTCGTGCAACCATTCGCGATTGATCGCGTCCTTTTCTTTCAATTATTCCCTCGTTTTTTCTCGGACAAAAAATATGAGATATTTACAGATTCTAGTAGATCTCGTATCGTAATTGATCACGTCCGTTCGCAGACCTCGTTATTAGAGATGCAGCTATGTGCTAAATCCGACGCAAGGTCGGATTTGTGCAAATGTTGAATCGAGAAACACGTGAAGTAGACATTCACGAGATAAATTCTGATTAAGGAGATAAACAATAGCGTCACACAATAAATGATTCGAGAAAAGCGTGTTAATCCGTCATTCTTGGTATTGTTAGCAATGGTTTTGATATTAGAATTATAAATGCTGTTTACGAAACTTCGAGGAAACGACTATCAACCGCACGTACAACAGAAATTCCATCCTACGATGTTGCATTCTCGTTTCCGATAACCAAGTTACTTGAAACTGTCGCTTCATCGCTTTAATTAACGCTTATATGTAAAAATCGAGACGTATGAATTTTATCGCGATGCTAGATAAGCAGAGCATTCTGAGCATCTACAATACAGAGTGTTTCTGAAATAATGCCTATTAGTTATACAGTGCTATTCCTAATGAAAAACAGTCGAAAAGTCCTCTATCATCTTGCAATTTTCGCAATATTTTTTTTATAGTTATTCAATAAACAAAATGTCTAAAATCGATGTGTATAAGACAACTTTAAGGTATCTTTAAGAGTTCTTTAAGAAACATCTTCAAAATATTTCATAAAGAACACATTGAAAGATATCTTAAAATTGTCTTATACATTTATCGATTTTATCTATTTATTCGGCAATGTTTAGAAATTAATATCTCGTTAATCATTGCGAAAATTGCAAAATGATGGACGACTTTTCAATTCAGTTTTTTATTAGGACTAGCACTGTATGATTAGGGGGCGTTATTTTAGAAACACCTTGTATATTAGCAAACAATCCTCGGCTCTCATCTAATCCAAATTTAATTTTTTTTTTTTTGCGAAAAAGTGACTAAAAGTATCTCTTCTTTCTAGGAAATCGATGATTTGACGCTATATTTTTACATTGCATGTGGTATCTTCGCCGGCGCGCTTATCTTACTTTTCGTTTTGGTGACCGTGCTATTCGTGAAAGTAAATCGATTATCCGAGGACGGGTGAGTAACACAGCCTTTTTGTCAGCTGATAATTAGGGCGCCAATTGAAGGTTTTGGTTGCATAATCCAAAGACATTAAATGTTTACCAAATATTAATTATGCTTATCATCAGTAAATATTGATTAACGTACTCACATTCTATTTCATCGGTGGCAGACATATACTTTATTGCATAAAAGTGCGTAGTCGAAGACAACGTGCGTCTCCCCGCTCGCATAACGCGTTTCAAAATTTCTACGTGGTTGAATCGTACCGTAGCTAAATACATATTACTGATCGCGAATCGTTGGCGACGTATTTCACCATATATTACACGCGAAATATCCGGTTTTATGAACTTCAGTTTCGTGAAACGTCTTCATAAACTAAACCTCTCTCTTTTGATAATCGATTCTTACATTTCTGACATTTCCTTTTCATATTGCATAAATCTAAGTAATCGAAAAATTGAACCATTTAAGCCATTTATTTGCAAAGTGAATAAAAATTGTGCAAGTTGAAATGGTTCTAATTAACTATACATTTATGAATCAATGATTATCGAGTATTACGTGCAAGATATTGATATCCGTGGTTATTTGATTGCTTCACTTACTTAGCGGTGCACCTGCGTGGCGAAAGGAAAGTAGAGAAAAATGCTTGACGTGTATCTGCAACGGAGGCAGTTAGACATTTTCATTTTTCTATCGCAGGAATGAAAATACGCATGTTTCTTTTGTGAGTCACGTAGCCAACGACGAAATGGTTGATAGTATATCTTTATTGCCGCTATTATTTCGCTTATCTGATCGTCCAAGAACACAAAGCGGTAATGACGATCAAAAAAGTACCTTAATTAAATGAATAATTTCTGGTTTGTTTGCAAATATTTAACATGAAGGTGCAATTTAGTTATCTCGATTTGGTTTTATTCCAATCGTTTACGAGAGTAAATTATATAATAGTACCACTTGTTATTACATAGAGAAATATCTTGATTTCGTCCAATTTCCTTTTCTTTCGCAGTTGTTCAAAAATATTTCTAGATCTACTCTTGCCACGAAATTGGAAGTAATTTTTTTGCCCAAGTTTCGTTCGGTAATTCCTTTAATCATTCATTACTAATACGAGTAATCATGCTTCTTTCATATAATGTCCGAGAGACATTCCTCGTTGTATTTATCATTGTAATCGGCGATCGATTTAAATTCAGCTGTCAATAAGATAATTACTTCTATCGAATCCTTCTCGTTCCTCTCCTGTATTTGTGGTAATGATTCGGTCGCTAAGGTTGAAACTGAAAATTGATTTAGGTCCAACCAACTAAACAGACAGACAAATATGATGGCGGACTTCTGTTACACCAATCCCACGATCGTACCTGGAGAACTGCTCTCTCGTCGTGGCTTTTCTATGTACAGTGGAGCTGACAATTTCGACGATGATTTCGGCAAGAACAAAAACGCTCAGTATGGAACATATCACGAGGCTCGATCAAAATTCTGATTAAACTTTGAGTCTGCAATGATTGATCTCCAATTATTGGTGCGGCTTATAAGCTGATTAATCTGCAATTATAACATTAAGTAAAAATTAAGATATTGCGTAATGTAAGATATTGCATAGTAATGTAAAATATTGTAGTTTAAGCTATTAACTGGATCAAATTATTATTAATAGTATTATTTGCTCTTTATGTATAGTCATTCTCTGTGTAACTTTTTGCGTAATGTACTCGATTTAACGTCTTTAATTTTTCTTTGAACTGACTTTACGCAGATGTTACTTCCCGCAGAATACAAATTAAAGGTGACTCTACACGATCAATAATACTGATCAGTAATATTGAATCAATAATACTGACGATATACATTAATATTTTTAGTATTTTTACAACCTTGCACCATCAGTATTATTGACAATTATATACAGATATATTTCACATTAGTTTTACGTACATTACCTATTGCACTGTGATATACTGTGGATTCTAATAAAATGATATACCCAGAGAAAGGTTTCTTCAATTCAAAGAAATGTTTCTTTGCGGTTAAAGAAAAAATTTCTTTGATTTGAACATAATTTTTTGAAATCAAAAAAAATTATTTAATTTCAAAAAGTGTTTAAATTAAAGAAATGATATTCAAATCAAAGAAATTTTTTTTTCATTAATATTACAATAATTTTCCACTCAACGATATAGAGGTGATACAACATGATCAGTTGTACACAACAGTTACATTGTTAAGTAAGAAATTATATAACATTAATGTAATATTATTATTTGTATTCTGTGGATTGTACATATCGCCTAAATATTGAAATTTTTCATGGCTTTTCACTGCAGCATGAAATACAACGTTCAAAATTGATATAATTCGGTCAATGTTATATTATGTAATATATAATTAATAATTGGAAAAATCAGACTGCCATTTTATCGGAGACAATTTTTAGTTGCGTTAACTTTTCTTTAGATACGAACATCTTTGAATATTCTCAATATTATCAAAGTGTGTAAAATTATTCAAAATGTAGAAATTAATAATTATTAACTATCTTGAAAAACGTATATAAACAACAAAATGATACGTGAATAAGATCATTTATTGTATATATTACTATGATTGTTATTGATATCTGTTTTATCGGTTTCTCGTCGATAATACTGAAAATTTACCAGAGAATGTCTAGATGTCTCTGCATGTATTTCACGCCGCAGTGAAAAATATAGACGGTGCTCCGAAACGGTCGCACCTATTTCCATAAGACTGGAAAGAATTTAATATGCATAATTCCTTATGCATTTAGGATGCACAATATTTTTCAGTAGACATGTAAAGAGTAATAATAATACTAGACTTTGAGACATATACTAGTCGACTCAATACTTTTTTGACAGACTCCATAATTATCTGTGTGGATCTAGCCGACGTATAGATGATGTAACGTAATTGAGATAATATGCAATACCAAAGATACATACATATATATACATATATACATACGTACATATATATATATATGCATAAATATATATAATTATACTTAAATTAATAAATCACGTAGATTGGAAAATAATTAATAATTTGTAACACATAATAATTACTTTAGCAGAGAATTGAGCTTAATATATATACTTTATATTTATTAAACGTACAATAACGTGCACAAATAAGATGAATAAAAAATAGTACTCCTGAGTAAATTAAGTTTAACTTAAATTAATTAAGTTTGAGTTAATAAAACGTTCAATTAAATTATGAAATCACAAATACAAGAGAAATTTTTTATTTATCAAACATATATATAATAATCTTATATGTATGCAAATATATAATAGATTATTTTCCGATATAAATATCGAACATATTTCTTTTGTGTTGTGTATATTTATTTTAGTACGTTATTAAATTAAATACATATATCTCTTGCCATATAATTTAAATATAATACGTATATATTTCATTATGTAAGATAGAAAAATACAAACTTTATTCTACCCAGATTAATCGCCAAGAAAGATTCAAGTTGATTTATCGATGGTACGCATTCAGCAAAGTATCAAAACAGCTATTCGTCATGAATATTTCTATAAACCTTAAATAAATTTTGCAATCTTCACACGAATTATAGTCAGAATCAGGTTTTCATTCAATGCAACAGGTGTTCCAATAGTATTTAAAATATTTCTGGAAACTGTAAGAAATTTATATATACCGATATTTATAGAAACGTAAGATACATCTTTTTCAAGTCCAAATAGTATTAACGATACTTCGATATTTATCGATAACGATGCCGATGCCAAATACCCTGAGTCTTGTTTCGGCACGGCCAATTCTACCTGCAGTCGTGGTGGCTTCCGTTCCGAAAGTGGCGAGTCGCACCCGAGAACGGCAATGGCGGCGACTGGCGGCATCGATGGTGTGTGTAGGCAATGGCATGGGGATAGGCCGTAATTGGTATAAAATCATCGAGCAAACACATCGGACAAGACAGCCCGGGGATTGTGGGCGGCGTTGCGTGCCGTCGTCCTGGTTACCGCGGGGGCGACTCCGCTAAAGCGGACCCTTCGCCCCCGATTGCGCGCAGGCCCGCCGCCGATACACACCTGCGTGCGTTCGTTTGTGTGCGTGTGTTTGTACGGGTGTGCGCGATGGGTCCACCAGAATCCAGCACGCTACCCTTACCTTTCCTCAGCTACACGCCAGATTTACCGCCACCGGCAGCGCCAAGGATCGCCTCTGACCAAACGTGATCTTCGCCCCACGGTAATTCACCCATCCGGAATTGTGGCCTTCCTGCCGAAATTTTTATTTGCGGCACCTCGGCTTTTTCTCACCTTGTTTATTTATGACAACAAGTGTTTCACTAATTGATTCTGAAACAGAATTTGTATCTACAGAATTTTTGTATTTTGTGAAAATGTAGAGAAAAACCGGTATTCATAGTTTAATTTTATTTCAAAACCATCTTAAGTAATGCGGTTCTGAATTAGTTTATGACTTAATCTTAATAAGAACTACTGTACTTAAGAACCAACTATGAATACTGGTTTGAAAAAATATCACTACCAAATTAATTCCAGTTAACTCTGGCAAAAATAAAGATTGGAACATACTTAAGTTGAATTTAAGAGGAAAGTGGCAGAAGTTAAGTTTCTAGAAGGTGAAAATTTTTTGAAAGTAAATAGATCTTTTATATCTCGTTGTCTTAATTTTTGCCTTCTAAAAGCTTCGGTTCGCTTACACTTCTTTCATTCAATTTACACTCCAAGTTTTATTTTTGCAAGATCGCCCTCTCATAATTAACCTTAAATATTAACCTGTATAACGCAGCTATAATTACTTACGTAGCTTCCAGTTACTTCTGTTTCGATCCCGAATCAGATTTAACAAAGTTTCTTACAAAAGGATCGCGGTTTGTGGCTACATCCCCATAAATCTCCATAATCTGTGTCTTAATGATAAGTAAATACTACGCCCCGCGATACAAATGTTTCTACAGCGCACGCAACCTGTCAAGTGTTTAGTTTAGTTAAAATCCCTCCTTTATCATAAATCCGCGTTTATATCCCTAATCGCCGGGAATAATAGCCACTTCTGTGGTACCCTCGGGTACAGCCGATGCATATGTTGTTCTTTGAGGGTGACACGCACAATGCACGATATTATTCTTAATATTCTTTGTTATTGTACTTATATTAGAAAAATGCACTTACTGTGTATTTTTTAAAAACTCAGAATTCATATCAAAGACAAAAATTTTTAGAATAAAACAAAATAATATAAGGTTTTCCCTCAAATATAAAACAACTCACATAGTAGCTTAACATGTGATTTATAGAATAAAATGTGTATTAAAGTCATCTTTTCAAGAATAATTTTAATTATTTTAATTTTACTTTTTTGTTAATATTCTTGAGGCATCCACGGGTGCTTTCTATATAAAGGTTATGCGTTTCGCGGATTTCCTCCGTGTTCCATTCTTGAAATGTCAATGTTTCGTGAATCTTGCAGTCCACTTCATCAGGGAAACGAAACATTGGCATTTCAAGAATGGATCTGGACACGGAGGAAACCCGCGAAACGCATAACCTTTATTTACTTTTTTTGTTTTATTATCAATAGAAAGGAAAAATGAAAAGATATATAGAAAGTTGCGGGAAATATAATTATAAAAATAATTTGTGTGCAATGGACCTCCGCCAGCTATAAGTGCCATGCCCTCATTACTTTCGTGACCGGATTCTTATATTATATATAATACCCGTACCGTTTTACTGTGGAGTATACGCGCAGCGCGGAGACGTATAAAATTTTAAGCCTTCAGGTCTCATATTTTTACGAGCGACAGGAAGAAACGCGAGGAAAGAAACAAAACCACTCGCTGTCGGCAATTATACACAGTCTACACTGTTCGACCCCACCTATTCACAGTTCTAATCTTCTGTGAGTTGACTGTCCGTATATCATGTTTTCTTGCGCGTTATTTTAAATTTATTTAATCGACTCTTTTACAATAATATATATATATATATATCAACAGAAAATTATTTATTACTTCCGATGTCGGCGGCTATACTAGCCAAGTAGAATGAATGGGAAAACGATTGAACATTATTCTCTTATTAGGCTGGTATTCATAAATCGTTTTTATTTCACGACCATCTTAAGTAATGTTTTAGGATGCTAATACAGTTCTGTGATTGGTTCATAATATCTTAAGACTGTATTTAAAACGATTTTAAATGTAAGAACTGACTATGAATATACCTTAGAATTCCAAAGATAAAATTTCTCTATTATTATTTTAGGTGCAAAATGTCTTTAAAAATAACAACTGTAGAATTTCTATATCTCTGACTTGTTGTCTAAGACAACAAATTCATTTAATAGCTTACACTTTCGAAAGTTGGAAAATAATGTCACTTGAATTACGTACATTTGTATCGATGATATCCGACTAATCTTTCCGCACAATTTCGCCAATAGTACTTGTCGTAATATGTAGAGGCAAACGGACGGAAGAATACACCAGTCACGGCATGAATATAATGAGAACGTTAGAGGTGGGATAGTCCACGAGGGGTACCATTAGGTCGTGTGCGACGACGTGTTGAGGCTGCACGAAGTCGCGTGTAGCTCGTTAAATTCTTCGGCCGGCGAATCGAACGCGACCACGATTCTGTGAAATTGTGCGATCAATCGTTACAGAAAGTCCCGACTATCAAATGCCACCCGTGGTGTCCATTTAGGGCCATACGTTTGAGATTTTTCTGATCAGTCACACCAGTGTTTTCAGCCAAAAGCTTCTAAAAAAAAAAGGTCACATTAAAAGCTTCTCGAGAATTTCTGCAGATTTTATTAAATACTATAATGAACATTAAAATATTTTGATGTATATTCTCTAATGTTTAGACTACCTTG